AGGAAGAGCGCTGGGGCCGACCGGGGAGCGACGGGTCCTGCCTGGGGACTCCCTTTGCACGCCTCGGTCGACCGACTGCGAACCGGAAACGAGTGGAACAGACACGGGACCAAACAGGAAAATGTCCGTCCACATCTGATCTTTGACCCGCCAGCATGACTGACGGAAATGCATATCAGTCTCGGCCCTTCCTTCCCCAGTTCCAAAAACATTCCCAAATTTAGTCTTCCCGCCTATAATCTCTTCAGGCACAGCCAGAGATGCAATATTCGCGCGGTTGGCCAGACACTGCTATCGTCTGCATTCTCGCTCGTTGTCTACATCACCACCCATGAGACCGTCACTGCCACAGGCCAGACGGAGAACGCTCGCGGCGCTCTCCAGGGAAGCCATTCAGCGCCACTCTCTGCGGACCGTCTGTAACGAAGGCTGGCCCTGTCGCAACCCCCACCACCGCGGCAGCGGTCGGTCACCAGCCGCCGGCACCTCGCCTGCACTTGAGCCGTGCCGTATTAGTTTATATTCCCCGGCATTAGTCGCAAATGATGATACGGCACCGAGATTTACGGCCCAAATGAGAGACGAGACGGCGGCAGCGGCGGCGGCGGCGCCCCGCGGCGCTAACGGCGCCCCGGCGCGGCACCAGACAAACGCGGCGTACCGAGGCGCGACCGTACACTGTAAAAAAAAATTCACTAGCTAATTTTGAAATCAGGCATTTTTTACGAGTGCCTCCCTTGCACCTCGTTACAACATATATGGACATTAGTAGTCAGAGCCATGCACGTTAACAATGCCCTTTGTGGAACAAATGCCTACGAGCGAGAGCATGTTCAGGAACCTAATTTTGCGCAGTGTTAATGAACTACGCACAGCCTCACAGTGTTATCCGCCGTTGGCTTGTTCTCGGCCAGTTTTTGGCGTGTCCCTCAATTAGGTCATTTTGCTATTAGCTCAGCTGACGAGGCCCCGGCTGGCACCTACTAAACGGATAACCTTGCGTGCAACCCCGCTTGTTGTCACGAACGCCTGCAGCTGGTAAACGTGCTGGCAAGCTTGCGTGGTTAGCGGCTTCGGATGGCTATGAGGATGTGCCTCATAGCCATCCTCGTCGCATGTTACAACCTAGGAGTCTGTGGCTGCTTTCAGAAGGAGTCCCCCCCGCATCCGGGAGACGGCGTCCATTTTGTGTTGCGTCGCCATTACTGTGTGTGTCTGCCCAACTGCTCTTTGGCTTGATTGAAGGTGAGGCATCTTGTATCATTTGCTGTGTGCTCAACAAAAAGGTTGTCCATTTGTAAACAAAAGTTATTATGTTGTTGAGCTTCTTAGAAGATGTATAGTATCGCATAATGTTGCTCGTCGTTGGCAGAAGTGCGCCGTTATCGTCTATCCAAGTCAGAATAGCTATATGTTTGGGACTTAAGCTAGCTTGTGGCAGGAATATATCACTTTCTTCAACTTTAATTTAATCATTTTCCAGATTGGTATGCCTTATGATAATAATAATGTTGATATTCGTTTTTTCACCCATTACAGACTTCTCTGCACTGTAAAAAAATCTTACAAGCCCCTTGTAGGAAAACCGCTGGCGCAAAAATGAGCATGCAGCGACGTGTAAAAATCGCCTCATATTTAGCTAGTAAGAGGGTACAAGCTTGTTTCGTTAGTAAATGACAAGCCCACGCCTCATAAACCAAGCACCCCCGTGTCAGCCCCTCGTTTCGTTATTCGGTACCTCGTTTGAAAACGAGGACAAAACCAGCAGATCGGTACGCCGATTAGGTTCCTTAGCAGGACTCGCCTAGTAACACAATCAGCTAGCGCCTGCTATTGCTGCCCAGTAGTAATACTAGCTCAATTGCGTCACACACCCCCCCCCCCCCCTCTTCTCCCCAGCCGCCCCTCCGACTGGTGGACGACCCGGCCAACGACAGTCACGGCAGCGTGCCAGCCACGTTACAAAGAAAAACATACACAAAATAACGTTTATTACTTATTAGCATACGATACAAAAATATATAAATATAAACATATTACAATATCATAGTGGAGTGGAGCAAAAGCTGATTCGAGTCACCACCAATAACATTCACGGAATAATACGGTTGCATGAGGCACGATCCGGCACTTCCACGGGCTCTGACGCAACGGCACTTACAACAGGCGAGTGAGCAAGTTGATCCTGCCATGTCAGGTACATTGTGCACTGTGCAGCCCATCAAACATTTGCCACGTTTTGCAGATTCAAGCAAGTATTTTTTCTGGGCGAGGCTTACCAACAGAAATATCGCCGGCTTCCGGTATACCTTCATGCCTCAGTCTCCCACAACTTTAAGCAACTCTGCAAACAGAAAAGAAAATTAACTGCTGATTTTAAAAATATCAGTGAGGATGGCTTTATTATCTACATCAACTGACTTTTGTATAAGATAAATCAATGTGAGGCAATATGTGTAGCTTACACATTTGGAAAAAAAGGCTAGACAGCAACTGAAAGAAAGTCCGTCTTCCAATAGTCGGAATTCAAACGAAACATTGGCCCACAACGGTCAAGGGGTGAATTCAATGACGCAACACGTGTTCAGAATATTACAAAATAAATAAAATGTCGCCCATTGCTACTTGAATATCATACAATATAACGTACCTTCGAAATATCCTAGTCCGATAACTTCACAACGCACCGTGCCACAACACAACCGCACCAACCGCCGGCAGCCGCAGAACTGAACAATGGCGGCCGGAAATGACGGCCTCGCCGGAAGTGAAGGACGCGTTTTAGAAGCAGTCTCAGCCTCGTCGCTGCTCACCGTAGCAGGGATTTATGAGGCACTACCGAATCAAAGTCGTTTTGCCTCATTCGGCAACACGAAAACCCTACCAGGACTAGTCCGATGATGAGTTTCCGACTAGGTGGCGTGTGTGCAAGATAATATTTTAAGCACGTGCAGGGCGGTGCCTCATTAGCCGACATAATAATAATATGACACGATAATGAAACACGCATGTAACTAGCATGCGACAAGCTTCTGGCGGATTTAATTATGAGACTATGCGTAGTTTTCCGACACAGCGCGAAATCTGTTAATAAGCAGGAAGGGGTGTTAGGGAAGCATTTAAGTTATTAGGTTACCGTTTGTAACCAATTGTTTTACGAGGGCACTCTTTAACTAACAACGCTCAGGCTGATAATGTCCCTATATATAACAGCAAGGTACAATGGACGACCGTGTAACCCACTCCTTGTCATAGAATTGGCTCGTGACATTTTTTTACAGTGTGGTAAAGAATGGGGCCATGTACATATGTCCTGGCCTACCTTCACCCCGCGACTGCTGCCGGTGCAGAGCTAATGAAAAATCACAAATGTTTGATGGTGGTTATTTAAGAAACCTGGTTGCAAATTATTCAGTTAGTTGTTGTTGTTGTTGTTGTTGTTAAAGTTATAGCTATTGTCCTGGCGTTGTTATTGTTCTCGTTCTCGTTCTCGTGCCCGAATAAATGTGCTGCAGCGCTACCAAGTCTGTTTACTTGCGGGTGGCGGTCGAGAGTCGGGGGCACTGGTCGACGGAATTCCGTCGACCCAGTGCCTCGACCCCGAAGGCCAGTAGTGGTACTAGTTAACTAGTGCCACTACTGGCCTTGAGCTAGTACCACTACTAGCCTTGGGGGCTAGTACAATTACTGGGTATGGATTAGTAGGCAGTGGCTAGCTACCTTACCAGGCAGGGGCTATTATGACACCTAGTAGACGCACTACCCACGCTATTTACGTGCGTGTTGTCAAAGTAGGTGGAGCACGGTGGTCGTATGCATACGAGGCACAGCCTTGTCGAACAAGCTTGTTACTCGGCAACTAGCCTAAAATTAGCCAAATTTACACGCTCCTGCAATGTTATTTTTGCGCTGAGAATTCCTCTACGAGGGGCTTGTAAGTTTTTTTTACAGTGAAACATAGCGCACCGGGCCGCCGCTCCGCGCAGACCGTCCGCCCTGCACCGGGCTGGCTGCAGCAGCGCTCTGCAATTGACAATTAGCGGGCCAGCGCAATGATTAATGTGCGCCGACTAATTGACGGGAGGCGTTTAAATCGGAGCAGATCGGGGCGGACCGAGTCTGGCAGACAGACAGAGCGTGCTCCGTTCACCTCTCCCGTCTCAGCCCTCTGACTGGCTCCCCTTCCCCACCCTGCCCTTTGTTTCGGTACCCGCTCTCCGTTCCATCTCCCCATGTGCCTGCTCCGGAGCCGTTCCCGTCTCGCCCGCGGCCGGCCGCCATCGCGGGGCCCTCTGATGAAGAAGAAGAAGTCAGCGCGGCGGCGCCGCTCGGACCGGTCCGCTACAGGCCCGCGTACATTCCAATTAAGGTATACACAGTCGACGGGTAATAACGCCGCTAAGAATGAGTTATACGGTGGTATATAAAGTTTATGAGACAGCCCGGAGGAGAGCCGAGTCCGATAGCGGCCGGCAAGCAGGCGCCGACGAAGGGCCGACTGGCGGACACCAGCGCCGCGATGAAGAAGATAGAGGGTGCACTTAGCCGGGGAATCGTGGAAATACAGCCGACGGAGAGCAAGTAACACACACCGGGTTGGAGATGAGGTGGCCACGGCTTACAGCGCGCGAGAGAGTGAGACGAATAGAGGTCTGCACGGCGGAACTGGGGGAGACTGGGGGGGGGGGGGGGGCGGGGGGAGACCGGACAGGCTCCGGCTGCCGGGCTCGGCTCTCCGGTCTGCTCCAGAACACCAGTCACCGGAAAGATATATTTCCGATAAGACGGCGATATTCAATTTCTCCTGAATGGCCCCAACTAGAGCGAGACAAAAGGAAATTCAACGTTGATTATGTGTGGGAAGATTAAATGTTAGATCTAAGAAAGTTCCGTTCAAACGTGCAATATTGCATCAGATGTAATTTCATCACATCGATCACACATTGAACACTGAACAGTCGGTAGAAACTGTGTAGTGAATGAAAGTAAGTTGTACTTACTCCTGGCGTTTTTGATTGCGGTCCGAACGGATACTTGGTCCAGTTCAGCTCCACTTCTCTCGTCGTGTCCAAGAGCACCACTGAAACAAACACAAACCACAAGTCAATCAGTGTTAACGACCCGAGAATCACACCCGAAGCCAGCTCATTCTCAAGCACACACTCACGTCTGGTTTATGTTCCCGCAGACCAGTCATCGCTGGCTGTATTGACAGTCTGTGCGGCCCACCTCGGTCACCATAAACCCCGCAGCCCCATAACCCTCGCACCGTGACACAATTCGAGCCGGCTCGGGCGCCGTCCGACCGTCCGCAGTAACCCACGCGCTCAAACGTGACCAATCCAAACATGATGTCACGCTCTGCCATAAACGGAATCGCATCACACATTGGGCTCTCAAAGCCCGGCCAATCGCCGTTACCCAAAGCTGGGCGGCGCCATCCAAGCGGTCAAAGGCGATCGTCTTGCTCTCGGCTGCTGCCGTTGCTGCGAGGGCCGTGCAGCGGTGTAACTTTATCGCCGGCGCGGCGCTCGAATGGGTGACTGTTTCGGTCGCGCCTGGCGCAGTTTGCACCCCTGCGCTCGCAGCTGCCTGGGGCGGCGATCGGTCCACTGTGAGTCAGATCGGTAGTCGACACGCTGAATACAAACTCGAGCCGTGTTTCACAACCACGGACGGTTGCGGGCGGCTTGGTTCGTATTGGTAAAAGTAGCCGATCCTGCCAGCCACAGTGCCACATTCCATCATCTCAAATGCTTCTCAGACCGTTCACGTATTATCTCTTTGATTTGTACGGTGTCTCTGTACTTTCTCGGCACGTGTTTAACTCAATGTCGTCAACGCTGTGGCCTATCTTATAAGTTAATTTCCAAATATCCTTCAGAAACAAAATGAATTAATATATTCCGGCATTCCCACGTATCCTGCATGCCTGAGGGCCGTGACTGCCCAATGCCCACCTCTGCCTGCATCCCCGCCGCGCGGCACAATAGAGTCGTCGTCCCCTGCCGGCCTCAGCGCTCCTCTCCCGCCAGGCTGTGCCGTAACATCTCCGTGCAGCCCGCTCGCTCTCCGCGCTCTGACCAGACGGGTCACGGTCGTGTGCTGAGCGGACGGCCAATCGACCTAACGGGCCGCCGTGGAGCCCGTGGAGGTCGGGCCGCTCGACGCCTCGCCGAGACGAGTCCATGCAGACATGCGGTCGGGCCGAGAGAACGCCGGGGTTGCGGCGGTTTCGTTTACGACTTCACAGCAAGGGGAGGAACTAGTGATACGTTGTCGCTGTGGGTTTCACTGCCGCTGAGTTTATCTACAGCTCAACTTTGAGTCACAGGAGGGGACGGCATTGTTGCGGGTTGTGTCGGGGCTGGTCGCGCCGCCGACCTCCCTGTCCGTCACTGTTTGGCCAGGTGGGAGGCTGAGCGGCGTCACAATGCGGCACTATCGGCGCGCGGCCGCGGCGGCTGCCAGTCGCAGCGCTCACCCCATTATCAGCCCACCCTTTCTCTCGTCCCGATGGTATCAGTGCGGGCCAGACGCGTCCAAGGCTGGTGACCACGCGCTGTCCTCGGCCACTATAGAAACGAGCGGGCACCGATCCCCGATCAGGAGCGCCGCCGCTCCTGGCGCCAGCCGCGCTGTTATGAAACCATGGGAGGCAGGTGACGGGCGGCCGCCGACACAGCCGCCGCCGCCGCCGGCCCGTCATCGCCGCCATCGCTGGAGCGTCATCACCGCCATCACAGAGCCTCGGCGGGCGACACCTCAGAGAACGGCCGATCAGTGCCACCGTTCGCTGAACGGCAGCTATAGGCGACGTCGCGACCGGCCTCAGCAGCGATAGCCATCGCTTTCCGCGAACAGAACAAAGGCGTGGGAGTTGGCATGCAGGCGGCCCGGCGGCAGCGGCGGTGGACTCGGGCAGCCCGGCAGTGAGAGTCACGGGTGTGCCGAGCAGCCGTGCAGGCGGCCTCTTTGGAGCCCCGGCGACACAGACCCCGTGCCGTGCATACAACAGTCGGGGCGGCCCGCGCAGGGGCTAATGAATTTCTTACTCAACTTTTATTGCTCAGTCGGCGCTACCAGTGCCAGATGGCTATTACTCTAGGGCGAGGCCATTCAGCGCATGCGGGGGAGGGAGTGTGGAGGTGCGTGATGGCGACACGCACACACACCGAGGGCTGAGTGACGCAGAAACGGCACGAACAGGGCGATACTGCAGCGATTTATAGTTTTAATTACAGTAGCCACTGCTGAAAGGACATGAAGAGCTTGAATAGACGATCTCTTCTAATGACGGCCAGTGTATCCCGTGAGGAGCGGGGCCGTATGCTAAACATATTCAGTAGTCAACCACCTTTATTCTCTGAGAGACCATGAGAACATCCTGGTTGCATGTCGGATGAAACGCTACACAAATGTTAACAGTGCATGCTTGCAAATCCATCAGAACTTGGTCATTCCCTACTAGCCTGCAGATATTTCTGTAAAATTCACATTCCGAAAGTCATATCTCCCGGAAGCTAATGTTCGGCACGCCAGAAACTTCAGCCCGAGCACCCTAAACTACCGTGCACGAATTCGCCAGTTTCCGTTCTCCGGCGCTGAGTGCATAGTTGTGGTCGATTTTTCATCTCGCTCCGCCCCAGGGTCCGGTCGGCAGAGCTAACGGGACCCGGCGGCCGACTCCCTCCGCCGCCGAGCACACCTCGGCGGCGCGAGCTGCGTCGGCCTCCTCCGTCCCTCTGCCCGCCACTCCGCGCTCTGCCCTCGGCGACCCAGAGTCTGAGTTTACGGCCGGGCAGCCTTGGAGCGGGGCGAGGGCGCGCCACTAAATTTCCGACCGGGCCCCATAATCGAGCCGTGCCGTGCGCGAATCACGTCTGTTTGATGATATAAACAGGCCACAAATATCAGGCCGCCGTAAGTGACACGTGTAAATAAATAAACAGACGGAGCGAGCCTCGCGCCGCCGCCGCCATTGAAATGAAAATACATGGACCGGCACCCTTTCTTGACTGCACGCGCCAGTCCGGAACCATTAGTACCAACTAAGCTGTCACCGAAATTAATGCGCTGCTCACTAGCGAGGAAATCGTAAAATTAATTTTCCGTGGAATTAGTGCTCAGCAGCTAAGGTGGTCTGCGTTCTGCAAGCATACATCACTCCATTTTTAAGGACCATCACTGCGGAACTAAAAACAAAGAAAACGAGCCGGTAAGTCTAGGAAATGACCAACTTCTGCATTCACAGTACCAATGACACAAATATGCAACCACATCACCTCCACAGCGCTACGTAGGCGGAAGCATTTCTTACCATAGATAACTATTACCCTCCACAGTAACGGATTCGAATTACGTGGGAGCGGCAAGACGGGCCTCGCGAGGTCGCTGGACCCGTCTCCCGTGCGTCACTTCCGTCACGACTTCGCGGCTCAAATCGGCCACAATGAGACGCGACAAGGCGCACGGCCAACATGTCAGAAACAACACGAAAATAGTCCGGCACTAAAGGTGGCGTCCGCGGTAACGGCTGCGAGGCGCTGGTGGCGTAAGTGGCGCATCCGGGGCAAGCGTGACGCAGCGGCGGCGCTTCCGGCGCACGTTGGTCGCGTGGGAAGAAAGAGGGCGGCGGATCTTTAAACAATGGTGCAAGGCGGTGGACACAGGCCTCGTCGCCAGGCACGCAGTGAGGTCGGCCCCGGCAGCGGCGGCGGCGGCGGTTGTGGTGGTGGTGCACGTTCCCACGCCCTCGCCAGCCGACGTTCCTTGGCGGCACACCTCACACGACCAAGGTCGAATGCGAGGGCAGGCCCGCCCGATCACACAGCCTGGCAACAACAGTAACATTGCAGCGCTCCCCTGGCGCAATGGCCATCGGTCGCTCCGGCAAACCCACCCCTGACCGGCCTCAAGGACCTCTCAGAGGGAGTCCTGCGCGGATTTTCCAGCGTCTGCAGCGGCTGTCCCAGCCACTGCCAGATCAGATTTGGGAGGCGGCCGACTCGAGTACGGCAGCCGCCGGCCCGGACGCCAAACTGTGCGGCAATCAACGGCGATCCGGCGTGTGCGTTTTATTCCGAGCGTCTCATCTCCCGGGGCCTGGTTTATGGGCCATTTGTTCTAGCTCTGCCGCCACCGCCCTGCCACCCCCATCGCCACCCGCCGCCTCCGAGTAGAAGTGTTCACCGGTCCGTACACACACTCAGACACACACACACACAGACACTCACTCGCACATAGACTCAAAGCCACATCTCAGCTCATTCAGGCCGAAAGGAAAGATGGAAATTAAAACGAGCTTCTGTAATTACTGGACAGCAGATGTCGCACAGTGGAGAGGCCGTGATGAAGTGCCCATCCAGAATATTCATGTCGACGAATTTAGCACGATGTCTGCGGCTGGCTGTGTCTCCGGCACCTGGTCCAAAGGGGTGGACGTCTCTCACTGACGAAATGCCCTCGTCTCTGACCAGTGAAGCAGAGCTCCCGCATGTCCCGGAGCTGAGCTGAGTGACGTGCTGGTGACGTTGTTTGGACGTCTCAGTAAGTCAGGCTGGTGGCTCGCCAAAAGCGGGAGCTCGTATGTAGTAGTCGGACGGAATTCTTATCGCCAGCATTCTGCTTATCTAATTAATTGAGCTCTTAAATTGTCTGTTAGTGTCGGACAAATCCTGACAAATGCTCTCTCCCGAGAGCCACGGAATTAGAATCGGCGCATTAGCTGAGTATTATTCATCGCGTTGATTGTATCGTCAGTTGGACCACTCGCGGGCCTCCCTTTTTACCCGATTCGCCTTTTACTGAACACAAACGGTGGCCGCGGGTACAAATAGACACGCCTACGATCGATACAAGGTAGCTGCTCATCGATTGGACATTTGTTTTCCACTCGTCAGACGGCGACGTATCAGCGGACGATCGGCTGTTTTTCCGAGCCGCTGATAGGTGAGGAATCCCGCCCCTGCTGTCCGTCAGCATCGTCCGCCCGACGTCGAACACACGCGCCCAGCCAATATCACGCCTGGTCGCCCGGAGCGATTCGTTTGAAGCCATTCTGACGCCTAGCATGAAAAA